CCTCACCATTGTATTCTCGGCTCCTTGAATAGTGCTTGGTAAATCATAGGTGTTCATAAATATGTCATTGGTTAGTTATTTACATAGATAAGTAAATGAATGGTTTAGATCATGATTGTTCAGTAGAAATATAATGTGAGTCACAACTGCAGGGATGGAAGTAGGAAAACAGAATCAGACAGCCTTAGGGGATTATTGCAGATAATTCAAGTGAAAGATGATAGTGGCTTGGACCAGAGTAGTAATGGTAGAGATTATGAGAAATGATTGGATTCCAGATTCATTTTGAAGATAGAGCTGACAAGATTTGCAGATTTGCTGATGGATTCCTTATAGGTTGTGAAAAATGAGGAGTCAGATGATTTCGAGTCTAAGCAGTTGGTAGTTACCATTTTTCGAAAGTTCAAAAGCCTGCAAGAGGAGAAGTTTGGGGAGGGAGGCATATCAGATCAGTTTTAGATAGATTGAGATGCATCATAGGCATTTAAGAAAAATATTAGAGAAGGTAAATGAGTGAAAGTCTGATGAAGAAGGCCTTTTGATTTTTCAACTATTTATGGCACCTACCCCATCCAATCTTTTCTATAATTGACAAAATGGTGATTTTTCAACTTTACAAACTCCTTCCACATTTATGTCAGCACTTTTGTACCAAAAATATTACATATGATTTATAGAAAAATATAGTATAGGCAAACAAATTAAGGCAATTAGTTCTAACCATACAATTTAAAGATAGTCACTTTAATCTTTCTTTCATACACTAACTTTATTAAAATTGTATAATCCATGGAGTATGTATTCTGTTCAACTTTTTTTTTTTTTTGGTAGTTATTAGACCTTATGATTTTTTAAACAAACTTCTATGAACTTATCTGAAATATATACCATTATAATCAGGATATTGGAGTAAACAATTAAATATCAGGAAAACTCAGAAATTTTAAGAAATAATCTAAAGAATTTTAAAGAATATGCTAGGGTGAATTTTGGTAGTACCACAGTTCGGTTGAGTGGGATGTAGTATCATGGAATTACAACTGAATAGAAAATGTAATTATACTATATTTTTTCTAAAGAACTATTGCTGTAATTCTGTATACACTCCCTGCCCTCTTTTTAGCCCCATTTGCACCTATTGAGTATTAATAAATTTGAGACACAACAAAATGGATGAGTCTCAAAATGGTTATACTGAATAAAAACAGTGGATCATAAAGGAATATGTACTATCTGGTTTATTTACATAGATTTATTAAAAAGGCAGACAATATAATAGTGAATGAAAGCAGATCCTTGGGCTACTTACAACAGTAAACTGATTTAATTTTTGCTTTGTTCTTCAGATAGTATATATGCTTCCCTTCTTCCAAGAAGCTTTCTTAATGACTCAACTCTATTCCTAAGATTTCTGAATATTTGGCATTCAGTTAAATTTATAGTCATTATACTTATGGGTATTAAATGTCTTTTATATATTTCTGTGTTGCTAATTATTGAACAAGGTATGCACTGGTTTTTTCCCTTTTGCATCATTTTAACACACACTACCTCCTACCTACCATCCATCCGTCCATCCATCCATCTATCCATCCATCCATCCAAACTAGAGGCCTGGTGCACAAAATTGGAGCACTGGCGGGGATGGGAGTCCTTCAGCCCAGCCTGCACCCTCTTGAAGTCCAGGACCCCTCACTCTGTACCACCCACCTCACTGCTCGGCTCGATGCTCCTTAGTGCTGCAGTGGAGGTGGGAGAGGCCCCCGCCACCACCGCTGCACTCACCAGCTGTGAGCCCAGCTTCTGGCTGAACAGTTTTCCCCCTGTGGAAGTGCACTGACCACCAGGAGGCAACTTCTGTGTTGAGCGACTGCCCCCTGAGGGTCAATGTACATCATAGCAACCAGAAGTCCCGCTGTTTGGTCAATTTGCATATTAGGCTTTTATTATATAGGACCTATCCTATATGATAAAGATGTATTGATAATATGTAAATGGCTGTTACACCATGAATCTTAATGACTGACCGATTAACAACCACATCATGGATCAATAGGAGGGTGAGGCAGCAAGTTACAAGCAGGAGGTGGAGAGCTAAAGGAGGGGGCAGAGGGAGTTACATGAGGGTGGGGCAGTGGGCAGAGAGCTACAGGAGCGGGGAGGGCAGCAAGCTATGAGGGGGGATCTACAGGAGGGCAGGGCAGCATATGGAGAGCTACTGGAGGGTGGAAGTGAGCTACTGGAACACAGATTCCTACGCAGAGCTACTAGTATTTATAAAAGACTGAGTGACCAGATGACCAGCAAAGTAAATTTTCTTCAGCAAATAAATTTTCTGTTACATTGATGATTCTTTGTACTCTATCCAGTAGAAAAAGTCATGGCATATGCCATATGATTCTGTAATATCGTAATTCATTTATTGGGTAAAAAAATGAGATATTAATTTTATACATTCTTAAGAATAACATAAAACACTAAACCAAATAGTTGACATTTTTACTAATTTCACTAATGTTTATGTTTTGATACAGGCAGTTTCCACTATCTAACATAAGTCTGATGTATTATTCATTTTATCTTTGCTTTTCCTTGAAAGCTCTTCTGACTGTTAATATCAAAAACATATAAAAGCCTAGAAGTTAATTTGAGATACTTAGGAGGAAATGTTAACTATTTTCTGATAAAATGTAAAAATACCTTGTTTATAACATTTATTGAAATCAAATTCTTCATGATGAGAATTTACTGTTGGATAATGGAGGCAGGAAAAATGTAATAAATGTCTTTACTACGACTTATTTTGGACCTTTTTCTTAAGTAAAAAAATATCTTTTTTATTGATTTCAGAGAGAGATAGAAACATGAATGAAAATGTTTGATCGGCTGTCTCCTGCACACCCCCTAATAGGGATTGAGCCTGCAACGTGGCATGTGCGCTGACCAGGAATCAAACTGCGACCTCCTAGTTCATGGGTTGACATTTAGCCACTGAGCAACCCCAACTGGTCTATTTTGAATCTTTTTTAATTGTGCTTTTAGTAATGTTTCCATTAATTTAGCTAACTAAAAGCATTTGATGAAAAACACTCTTTTTTTTAAATAAATTTATAGTTTGTAGGAATGGTGAATGACATGTAGTTTTGGTAACTATATAACCTTGTTGTACTCTTCATCTGAGGAATCTTCAAAAAATTATGTGAGCCCTGGCCAGATTTGCTTAGTGGTTAGAGCGTCAGCCTGTGGACTGTAGGGTCTTAGGTACTATACAAGGGTCTATACCTCAGTTGCAGGTTCTATTCCTGGGCGCTTATGGGCAACCAATCAATGTGTCACTTGCGATATTTTTCTCTTTCTCTCTCTCCCCCTCCTCCCTTCTACTCTCTGAAAATTAATGGAAAAAATATACTCAGGTGAGGATTTAAAAAACAAAAACAAAAACAAAACAAAAAAAGTTACTTGAATGGAAAACAAAAGTAACAAGAGTGTGCCACCAGCCAGAATGGGTTATGTTTATGTTTTTTGCTGTAGAGTGTGATACTTCTAAGAATATAATTAGTTTTGTTTTTCATTTTCTACTTTTTTCTCTATAGCCCCATGATTTTGATGAATGTCGATTTGATATTAGTGTAAATGATAGCGTTTGGTATCTTCGTGCTCAAGATCCAGATCACAGACAACAGTGGATAGATGCCATCGAACAGCACAAGGTAGGGTTTCCAGTTTTACTTGTACCATCTTGAGGTAAATATGTGTGTTACTGAAAAGTTGTACATTGTTTGGGTGGTAAAAATTAAAGCAGTACAGAAATAAATTTGTGAAATACTTTTATTTCTAAGGTACTTTCTGAGATAAATATTTTTTAAACTATATTTTTATTGATTTTTTTATAGAGAGGAAGGGAGAGAGATAGAGAGCTAGAAATGTCAATGAGAGAGAAACACCGACCAGCTACCTCTTGCACACTCCCTACCGGGGATGTGCCCACAACCAACATACATGCCTCTGACCGGAATCAAACCTGGGACCTTTCAGTCCGCAGACCAATGCTCTACCACTGAGCCAAACCGGTTTCGGCTGTGATAAATATTTTTAATTGTTAACAAAATATGCTCTTCTTAGTAAAAGAAATCTTGATTTTTCCAATTTAGGATTTGCTTTATAAAAAATGCCATTTATATGATCTGGATAAAAGAACTTTTGAAATAACGTTGGATTGTAAAATCCTAAAATTTTTAAATTTCAGTGTTAGGCTCATCGTAACCATTTGGGTAAATTCTCAGTGTAAACATTTGCAAATCATTTTTTTGGTTAAGTATGAAAATATCTGGTAATAAACCTTTAGGACTTCTTTTTTATATAAATATATAAGCCACATTCTTGTCATTTACAGCTAGTCTTTGACTCTGCTTTGATATTAATAAATCTGCATTATTAGTTAATTCAGTATACCATGGTAAAGCAAGGAATAAGGAAAATTATAAATTTACCATGCCACTCCTGAATAATTTCAAGGGAACTTTGCACATACTTGCCTATACTTGTTCATTTGGTTTTTACAGAGTTGTAGTTGAAATGCCTGTTTTGGTTGAGAGATACAAAATACATACACACACAAAGCAAGAAAAACCAGTCTGACCTGGGATACTACAGGCACCTTCTTCTTGATATTGATCATATATTAGCTTTTATTGTTTGATTATTGATTCTGAATTTTTCCTAGCCTAAAGAAAACTGGCTGTGATGTCCATCTTTTAATCTCTGATTTAGCTTTAGTATTATATTGGTTTTTGAAGTTTTGTGGTCTTGGCTGGTGTAGCTCAAATGGTTGAAGCGTCATCCTGTGCACCAAAGGGTCACAGGTTCAATTCCCGGTCAGGGCACATACCCAGGTTGCAGGTTTGATCTCCAATCAGAACGAGTACAGGAGACAACTCTCTCACATCAGTGTTTCTCTTTCTAAAGTAAAAATAATAAAAAATAAATAAATACTTTGTGAATCTTCATTATCTTTATTAATTTAGAAAAGAGTCTAAAAATGGGAACAGTTTTCTGTTTTTAAAAGAGAGATGAAAAATAAAAAATATAATAATAAAAAGAGATGAGAATTACAGATTCTCAGTGCTTTGGCGTCAGGCCTACCTGGAATCAGACTCTGCAGCCTCTGCCAAATATAACATATGTGACCCTTGGTATGATAATTCATTTTTTAGTGTGTGTAAGGAATACATGGGATAATATATATATAAAGTTAATTACTCCACAGTGGCTGATATATCTTCCCATTCATGACATAGAGGAAAAAAAGAATGGGCTTTGGAGCTACAACTAAATTACACCATGTTGTTTCTGAAAGAAGAGATCTGCGTTCAGTGAGAGTTGCTAAATGTGCACATAAGGAGAGTGGCCTAGTTTGTGAGTTTAATCAGGGCCAGCCCGCTTAATGATTAAACATGTTATTAAGTAGAACTAATTTTTATTTTTTTTAACTGGGGTGAATGTTAAAGACTTGGTTGTTTTAGATTACATGGCTATATGTTTTTTCTCTTTAGTTAAGCACACTTTATTTTTCTTAGCATGCTTGTTTTTCTTAGCATGCTTCCAGTTTGTATTTTCTTTTTTAATGAAGACATATACATGAAGCATATATTTCTTCCATATTATTGATTTCTTTGTGTCTTTGAACAACAGATAGATACAATCTTTGGCTCTCTTTCAGAGCACTGCGACTTAAGCTGAGGTAACAGATTTTTTGGTGAATTGTAGTTCTTAGAAAAGAGAGTCAGCAGCAAGTTCCAGATACATTGTAAACATTTTCTTTCAAATTTCTAAAGATAGTTTATTCATAGGCAAGAAAGAAGGAATCATTGTTAATTGATATTCTTAATACTTAATTATTTAATTTTAATGTAAAATATGTGATATGTGCCAACTAAGCAATTTATCAGTAAAAGTTTAAATTGCATGTGAATTGTAAAAATAAATTGAGTTATTAAACTAATACATGGAAGAAGAAAATTTAAATGCTATCACCAAACGTAATCATATATTTTTCTTTTAGGAATAAGTGGTAGTGAGATGTTTTCTAATTCATTCTTCATTATCACTAACGAACATTGAATGTGGAATCTAAATTTATTAATTTTTAAACATGAATTGCTGTATCGCTATTCAAAATTAATGTCAAATTGTTTAGGCATGATGGTGATGATGATAGGAGCTCTATTGTTTGTACTTCATGTGCTTTATTTTCTTCCTACTATCTCTATGTTTAAAAATAATTTCTATAATTTTACCTTGTATAGGCTATAGTATATCATCTGATTTCTACTACCATATATATACAAGACACATATGAACTCATCTTTCTGCCCATGTATTGTCAAAAAGAGCATTCCATTTTATTAATTGGTGTTTGAATACTGGATTCTGAGGTCTGACAAATATGGGATTGAATTCTGGCACTATTATGTAATAGCTGTGTGACACTGGTAAGTTACTTAAAGAAGGAAAGATGACAGTACACTCTCCCTCCAAATATAAACAAACAAGCAAAATAACCCAGATATAATAAACCAAGAGTACTGTACTTTAAAATTAACCTGAATTTTCATCATTCAATTCATACTTACTTCCCCATGGTTCCATCTGTCCTTATGATGGGTAGACAAGACATTTGGAATAGTGGGTTTGTAGTTTTCTCTTCTAATATCATCAGATGGGTTTTCTTTTTTTTTTTTTTTTTTTTTAACTATTCCCTGTCAGGTTTAAGTAATTTGTAATATTTGGAAGAAGTTCAAGGTTTCTGGTTTTTTTCCTTCCAGGAGGCCCTTATGCTCATTATAATAACATCTATGTACTAGTCCACCCCTCTCTTTTTTTTCTCTCTCTCTCTCTCACCCCCTTCCTCCCTCTTCCCTCCCTCTCTCCCCCTCTTCCTCCCTCTCTCTCCTTCCCCTCCTCTCTTTTTCTCTCATACCCACACACACACACACACACACATTAGCAATTCTATCTTACAGGACCTTTTTAACAATAATGTAGTGATGATAATGATAGCTAACATTTTTGAGAATTGATGTATGCCAGATACGGTAATAAACAATGTATACATTATCTCATTTTAGTCTCACAAACTTAATGAGTTTAACATTATTATCCTATTTTTACGGATTAGGAAATTGAGACATAGGTTAAGTAACTTGTCCAAAGTCAAACTGCTAATTAGTGAAGGAGCCAGCATTCAGACCCAGGTCTATCTGACCTAAGAACCAGAGCTTTTGGCCAGCAGGCACTTCTGTCATCCTATAAGTATGTATTTATTTGAAATGTATTTTATTGACTTAAATCATGGGCTTTTTAAATTTCAATATTCTCATTTTTATATGTTCTTCATATCTCTTGTATTTATTTTAAACCATAAGCTTCTTAAAGTTTCAGTTGTACAACTTCTTTGTAGTAATCAGCAAAGCTTTGAGCACATAAAATTTCCTGTTGAAATAATTTTACAATATTGTAAAAACAGATTTTATGGGGGGAAATATGTGATTTTTGAAGTGTTTTTTTTTTTTCTTCTTTCTTTTAATCTTTATAGTTGGTATTAGAATAATTATTGACAAAAATGCAATGTAGAGTCCTATCTTTTTTGTGTAGCTTTGTTATTTTGTCCTCCTTGGTATTCATTCCATAGTTGCTTGTTCACCATAAGAAAAGTTTTAAAAGATGATTCTGTAATATAACTTTTCTCAGTATATTAGTAATTGCACAATTCAGTGGGACATTAGACAGTGGCCCCTGTGCAAGAAAGATATTTCTGAAGTCATTCTTAAATTTGAAGGATCTATTTCAGTTTAAAATATAGAAAAAGACATAGTATACCAAACCTGTAATTTTATTTTGAAATAGTGTGCTGGTTTTATTGTGTGGAGTCCATTCATATTCTACATTTCTCCTGGATTTAAGGCAGCACTAAATGAATGATTTTTAAGAGGTGGGGGTTTTTTTGTTTGTTTTTAAGTCTCTTGGCCATTGCCCATGTTGTCTTGAGGTCATTGAAATGGTGTTTGTGAAAATTATTTAAAAAGAAGAAGCGGAGATACAACCAAGATGGCAGCATACATGAACACCTGTACTTGCTACCTCTCACAACCACATCAAAACTCCAACTAAAAGACAAAACAAATATTATCTAGAACCACGGGAAACCTGGTTGAGTGGAAGTTCTACAACTAGAAGGAAAGAGAAAAGCACATTGAATCTGGTGGAAGTGCGGAGGTATGGAGGCACATGAACTAGGCTGGCAAATGGGTGCGCTGTTGTTTTTTACAATCAAGAGGGAGATACAAGCTCTCAATTACTCTGAACTCCAGGCAGGACTCTGGGGATCCAACTTATATCTCATATGGGGAGAAACTGGACTGTCTGGCATTGGGCAGGAACGCAAGGACAGTTTTCTCAGGTTCTTGCAGTGATCATTGTTCTTGCATGGGACTGTGGGACAGAGAGACCTGGGCACCTCTCCAGGGCAGGGTGACTGGCAACCATTGCTGTTTGCTCTGCCCTGGTGATTACCTGAGACCTCGCCCCACCCACTTTACAATCCCATCAAGCTGTGTGCAGCGGCTTTAGCATATGAATGGCCTGTCCCTCTTGCAACCTAAAACCCAACAAACTGCAGCTGGGTCAGTGTGCTCCAAAGTATCCAAAAGAAAGCATAAGGCTCTGTAGCAGTAGCCTGCATTGCTTCACAGCTGGGCCTCATCTGGGCACTTCCAAACCCCAAACAAAGAGGAGGAATCTGCAGATCTCTCTGTAGCTCCTGATTGGTGGCACCAGGCAGTGTCTGACTTCTCACCTCCTTGGAGATCCAAGAGCCAGTGTACCCAGTGGCCAGTCTGAAACCATACCAGATTACAACTCCTCACATTCATAAGTGACACAGTCAAGGGGCAGGCTCAGTGAGCACCAAAACCTCACTGAAGCAAGTCCTACCCCATAAGGATGTCTCCAGCATACCAGTTCTTCCAGCGTAGACACAGCTGGTCCTCACAGCCAATTGAACTGGAGGTCAATTCCTCCCAGTGATACCAACAATAAACAAGTACAACAATACTGTGCACAGAGTTCACAAAGGGGTGCACCAAGACTCTCCACCTCAGGTAATTAGGGAGGCTGAGCCACTGGGCCCTATAAGACACCTAGCATACAAAGCCATGCTATCAACACAGGGAAGCAGCCAAAATGCAGACAAAGAAACATGACACAAATGAAAGAAATTGAAGAAAGCAAACTATTGAATATAGAGTTCAAAACCATGATTGTAAGGTTTTTCAAGAATTTTCTAGAGAAGGCCGATACATTTAGCAAGACCCTTGAGGATATGAAAAAAGACCAATCAGAAATTAAGCATACACTGACTGAAATAAAGAATAATACAGAGAGATCCAACAGGAAACTAAAGGATCCCAAGAATAAATTCAAAGATTTGGAATACAAAGAAGCAAAAAAAACTAACTGGAAAAGAAAAAAAAAAATCCTAAAATATAAAGATAGTGTAAAGAGCCTCTGGGATAACTTCAAGCGTAACAACATCTGAATTATTGGGGGGGTACCAGAAGAAGAGAGAGAGCAAGATACTGAAAACCTATTTAAAGAAATAATGACAGAAAACTTCCCCTACCTGGTGAAAGAAATAGATTTACAAGTCCAAGAAGCGCAGAGAACCCCAAACAAAAGGAATCCAAACAGCACCACACCAAGACACATCATAATTAAAATGTCAAGGGCAGCCGAAACCGGTTTGGCTCAGCGGATAGAGCGTCGGCCTGCAGATTGAAAGGTCTCAGGTTCAGCCGAAGCCGGTTTGGCTCAGTGGTAGAGCATTGGTCTGCAGACTGAAAGGTCCCAGGTTTGATTCCAGTCAAGGGCATGTACATTGGCTGCAGGCACATCCTCGGTGTGGGGTGTGCAAGAGGCGGCTGGTCAGTGTTTCTCATCAACGTTTCTAACTCTCTCTCCCTCTCCTTTCCTCTCTGTAAAAAATCAAAAAAATATATTAAAAAAAAAAAAAAAAAAAAAAAAAAAGAAAGGTCCCAGGTTCAATTCTGGTCAAGGGCATGTACCTTGGTTGCAGGCACATCCCCAGAAGGGTGTGTGCAAGAGGCAGCTAATCGATGTCTCTCTCTCATCAATGTTTCTAACTCTCTATCCCTCTCTTTTTCCTCTCTGTAAAAAATCAATAAAATATATATTTTTAAAATAAAATAAAATGTCAAGGGCAAAAGTCAAAAAGTGAATCTTGAAAGTAGCAAGAGAAAAAGTTAGTTACCTACAGGGGAGTACCATATGACTTTCAGCTGATTTCTCAATAGAAACTATGCAGGCCAGAAGGGAGTGGCAAGAAATATTCAAAGTGAAAAATACCAAGAACTTACAACCAAGATTATTGTACCTAGCAAAGCTATCATTTCGAATTCAAGGACAGATAAAGAGCTTCACAGCTAAGAAAAAGCTAAAGGAGTCCATCACCACCAAACCAGTATAATATGAAATGCTGAAAGGTATTCTTTAAGAGGAAGAAGAAGAAGAAAAAGGTAAAATTTATGAACAACAAAATGACAACAAATACATATCAAGTGAATCTAAAAATCAAGTGAATAAAAAAATTTGAGGAACATAAACTGGTGAATATAATAGAATTAGTGGCATAGAAAGGGAGTGGACTGACAATTCTTGGGGGAAAGGGGGTATGAGAGGTGCGGGAAGAGATTGAACAAAAATCTTACAAACATGGATGAGGACAGGAAAAGGCATGGTGTGGGGTGGAAACCGGTGGAAGGGATTTATGGGGGAGATGGGAGAACAACTCTAATAAACTGAACATAAAGATTTATTAAATTAAAAAGAAAATAAGAAAAAGCTGTATGAATGTAAAGTTAAGATGGTTGTTCCTTTGACCCAATTAAGTGAAAATGTATTTCTGAATTGTCAAAGGACCTTGGTGAGTATTTTCTGTATAATTAGTTTGTCAAGGAAATGTTATAAGTCATCTATTGATACCATTTAAAAGAGTCAGGATTATGTCTAGAATGTTTTACAATTATAATACACTAGAGGCCTGGTGCACAAAATTCATGCGCAGGGAGGAGGGGCGGGTGTCCCTCAGCCTGTCCTGTACCCTCTCCAATCAGGAATTTCCAACTGCCGGTTTAGACATCCAGCTCACAATAGGCAACCGCTCGCCTACCAGCCTGCCTGGTTGCCTCCCAACTGCCTCCCTGCTGGCCTGGTCGTTTCCTAACTGACCAGAAGAAAGTCAGATGTCCAGAAGATGTCTGGTCACCTGGTCTAATTAGCATATTACCCTTTTATTAGTATAAATGTGATTTCACTACACCCAGTTTTTTCTTACCATAAAAGTAATTTACTTCTGTTGCTGGTGGATGCAACTCCCCTGTTTGGGGGAGCCAGGATCTTGGGACACTGCTAAAAGAAGCATTTTCAGAAGCCCCCATCAGGGATGGAATGTGGAAAGAGGCTTTATTGGCATTGA